CACAATGGAATATAACAAAGGTTCACTTACAAACAAATTAGAAGATCGTTAAGATAAGTGAGTATACGAAGGTCTGTTCCCTCATACAGCAGGAAACAAATCCGTAGGCTGTTCGGAGTCTCCTTCTATCCCAATGACCTTAAAAAAACGAAGTTGCTAAGCCTCCTCTGCATTGCAGTGGAGTGGAACCAGTGCCAGCGGAATCAAACATTCAGGATTTTTAAATTAACAAGTTGCTTTTCTTCCCTCTGTCGCCAGCTTCGTTGCCCCATCCGAGCTTAGTTACGCAGGAGCTATAGGGGGTGTGGGCAGATTTCCCAGAAACAAGAGATTCTGATGAACTATTCCGCTCGCCCTGCAAAATAGTTGGGATTGTGTGGCTTCTTCTTAAAAAGACAATCAAGAGCCACAGGCTTTACAAAAGACCTGTTCCTGTTTACCCCAACCAACCTGAATTGGTCCTCCATAAACATGGGGCACCATTTGATGTTGCAAAGATCTCATCCTTAGAGCCGAAAGTGTGTTACAACCAGATAAATGATTCAGATAAACCTTTCCATGGGAGAAGCCGGACTTCAAAAGGATGTGGAACGTAAGTCATGAAGACCGATCACAAGCCAATTTACAAGTTCTGGAAGACAACAGAAACTCATACCATGGCAGTGAGACCTACTCAGTGCAATTTCTGTTCTACAATTTCTGGTGTATCAAACTCCCCCGGAACTAGAAAACAAGCTAAAATCTTTTCTTTTCGCCTTAAAGGGAGTGAAGAATGTTCTTGTTAACCTCTGGTCATGCTAGAACTTAATATCATTAAGTTTCCATTATTGAGAAAGGGAACGAGTTACGAGTCACATGTTATTTCACCATTAAGTTCTGCTTGCCCGCCCGGGCAAAACCGGAATGCGTTCTGTCTGGCCAACTTCTGCCCGCCGGTTTTGCACAATTAGGTTCCGAGCAGAACCCCCCCTGGGAGAAATAATGAGGTATTGTATACAAGATCATGCCCAGCATTGTTTGAGTCTTGCCCTCCCTCCAGCAACGAAACAAGTGGAGAGCAGAAGTGATAAACACATATTGAGAAAGGGAACGAGTTACGAGTCACATGTTATTTCACCATTAAGTTCTGCTTGCCCGCCCGGGCAAAACCGGAATGCGTTCTGTCTGGCCAACTTCTGCCCGCCGGTTTTGCACAATTAGGTTCCGAGCAGAACCCCCCCTGGGAGAAATAATGAGGTATTGTATACAAGATCATGCCCAGTGTCGTTTGAGTCTTGCCCTCCCAGGGAACGAGTTACGAGTCACATGTTATTTCACCATTAAGTTCTGCTTGCCCGCCCGGGCAAAACCGGAATGCGTTCTGTCTGGCCAACTTCTGCCCGCCGGTTTTGCACAATTAGGTTCCGAGCAGAACCCCCCCTGGGAGAAATAATGAGGTATTGTATACAAGATCATGCCCAGTGTCGTTTGAGTCTTGCCCTCCCTCCGGCAACGCAACAAGTGGAGAGCAGAAGTGATAAACACAGAATCAGGGACCACAGAGTTAGTCCAAAGGAGAGTCTTGTGGGAGATAATGGCCTGTAACCATGGAGATGGTTTGGCATGGTGGTACAAGAACATTGAGCCCCACCATCCAGGCGCGATAATGAGTGCTTTCCGTTTGTGTCAAAACAGTTATGAAATGTTGGCCCCCACCGGCTGGTTACCCACCTTATCACTTAATCGTAATTCTGTTTCACTCTGAACTTCAGGCCTGGTTGAAGTCCACCACGGCTTAAACTCATGTTGGGAGTTTTTACAACCTCGCATGCCGCCAGAAGACAATGTGGCCGGGAAGGACTTTTTCTGGGCTTGGGTGACTGTCAATCGTCCCAGCATTAACCAATCCTGTCTTTGATTTCAAAGAGAGCCTCGCCTCTCTGCTGAGTTTTGTTTCCTCCTCTTTGGCCTGCTTGGAAGTCGTGTTTGTTAGCTTGCTGTTGATCTTCCCACAACTGGAAGTAACCAAACCTTTTGAGTTTTTCTCCTGTGAATGTCTCAGAGCGAGTCATTGAGACCTCAAGTGCCAGTTGATGAGAAAGAGGTGGACGATCTGGAGAAATTGAAGCTATTTTGCTCTGTAAATCCTTGGACTACCGTTGTATGGCATTTTTTTAAAACCAAACTCTGCACCCCATGATTGTCCTAGCTGTCTGTCTTGTATTCAGAAAGATCACACATTTTGTTGCCCACAAAATTGGGTGCCCATGCATTCAACAGCCAGCCAGAGAATTGTGGAAATTGCACGTGTAATTCCTTTTGTACATGCACAATATTTTCCAGTGTTTATTAGGACATCCATGCTGTCACGCTGAAATGATCTCCAGGGAGGGAGGGAGGGAGGAAATATCTTGCATGATTCTTGGCTGCTCACCCAGGAAGTATAACCTTGTTCAATAATTTACTAATCAGGATTAATGTTCTCAACATTTCCCCCCATTTAAGGGATCTTACTCAGTCAAGGCAATTCGTTTTATTGGGGCAGTTAACGAATCAAGTCTGGACAAGTTTGCAATTTTAAAAAAACCCAAACCAAACAAACAAATTAAAACAAGGGCTTGGGAACAAAAAGCGATATTCTTTGCTTCCAGATGATGTAAGGATAGGTCACTGTTGATCTTTGCAGGGGGAAGTCCTTCCCTCTGTGTCAGAGTAAAGCCTTGACAAGACCGTACAAGCAGGGTTTGCGATTCGCTTTATGCAAATCTTGTCAGGTTTTGACACGCTTGGGATTCTACCACACTTCTGTCGGGGTTGCGTGGAGGATTCCTGGTCCCCTTAGAGGGGTCGTATAGACCAGATGGGCGGGCCCCCTTAGAGGGGTCGTATAGACCAGACGGGCGGGATACAGATCAAATGAAATGAAATGAAATGAAATCAATCAATCAATCAATCAATCAATCAATCAATCAATCAATCAATCAATCAATCAATCAATCAATCAATCAGACCCTGTTTGAATTTCCCCAAACAAATCTAAACTCCTTATAAAGAGCTTGGAAATAACGTGTTAGGGTGTAAACTCTGGAATTGTGATGTTTTTGTTAAGTAGGAGGACGGGTCATCACATTCATAAGGTTTTAAAAGAATTTTTTTTATAGGTTTCGAAATTATTCCAAAAGGTATTTTCATAAGAACACTCCTCTTACTTGATGCAAAAATAATGATTTGGATAGGAATGAACTAAATCTCGTGTGTTATTTCCAGATTCTAAGCCCCTCATACCCTGTTTCCCCGAAACTAGGACCTAACCTGAAAATGAGCCCTCGTCTGATTTTTCAGGATGTTCATAATAGAAGCCCTACCCCCCCACCCAAAATAAACCCCAGTTCAATGAAACCCCACCCTCCACCCTTGTGCAGCAGCCAGAAGATGATGACAGGACTGTATTTGAATAAATGTAGATGGTTGTCCATGAAAAATAAAATAAAACATCTACAGAAAATAAGCCCTAATGCGTTTTTTGGAGCAAAAATTAATGTCAGACCCTGTCTTATTTTCGGGGAAACACAGTACCCATATAGATATATTTATTTCTTTTATTTATTTATTGGACTTATATGCTGCCCATCTAGACACTGTCTACTCTGGGCGGCTCACAGCAAGAAAAGTATAAAAGTATTGATATATAATAACAATTTATATATATAGAGGGGAGCCATATAACAATACAGTGGTGCCTCGCTAGACGATGATAATCCATTCCACTGAAATCGCTGTTTAGCGAAATCATTGTCTAGCGAAAAGCATTTCCCCATTGGAATGCATTGAAACCTGTTTAATGCATTCCAATGGGGAAGAATTGTCGTTGTCTAGCGAAGATCGGCCATAGGAAAGCCATTTTGCGAACCGCCGAACAGCTGTTTAAATCACTGTCTTGTGAAGCGTAGGTCCCGAAAACACCTATTTTGCGAGCGCGGAGGGAGCTGTCAAAATTGTCGTCTAGCGAAAATCGGTTTGTGAAGCAGGGACCGAACATTGCCCAGCGAAATTCCCCCATAGGAATCACTGTTTTGCGAATCGCTATAGCAATTGCAAAAAGTCAATGTCTAGCGAAAAAACTGTCATGCGGGGTAACTGTCTAGCGAGGCACCACTGTATATAGTGGGGAGCTACCAGCCTTGGTCAATGGTAGCTTTAATCCATTTTCTAATCCCAGCTAGACTTGCTGAATTGTTTCCTGAATGCTGATTTTAGAGGTGTGGGTTACACTGCAACGGTGCCCATAGAGCCCCTGCCCCATAAGGAGATGCCAGAAATACAGGCGGCTGGACTGATGCATACTAATCATGGAGGAGCTACCCTTTTGTAAAGGTAATGGCGTTTAACTGCCCGTTCAAGACCAAAGCACTCTTCGGTGCTGTGCATTGCAACAAGGAGAGCATGCAATAAAATACTGGTCTTGGCATAATCCATTTCTGTCTCAGCTACTAAGAAGATTGCTGCTAAACCCGGAAGGAACAGAGATACGTGTGTGTGTGTGTGTGTTGTGTGTGACAGATGATGCATCGTCTTTACTATGCCAAAAGTCCTGGGGGGTGTTTGCTCCTGAAAGTCCTGGCTTTACTACACCACTGACTCAAAGTTATGTACATCTCATGGATTCAGAGGGTCACCTTGAGTTGGGATTAGGGACGGGAAGGATGCTGATGAATCCAACACTGGAGGCATTCAAGAGAATATCAGCCAACCATGTGTCAGATAACTTGGATTGGGCCCTTTCAGTTCCATTTTTGTACGATGCTATGGATTAGGTTTGGGATGTGGAATTGCTCTTTACGAGCAATACAGGTGGAAAAGGTACCACGGAGGGGTGAGGTTTGCTTAGGGTATCTGTAGGGTCTCCCGGTAACATTCTGCAAAAAGTTATAAGACAAATTTCAGGCACAATAGGTATAGACGTAAGGAGAGGATGGGGATCGTTAACTCAGTCATCCCTCAGGTACAAAGGCTGGCATTTGTTTTTTTTGTTTATTCTCTACCTGCTGGGTCCCGTGTTCGACAGTAATGGGGTTCAGTCTTAAAGTCCTTTTCCATTCCGCACCTTGAACTGGTTCACGGCCTCTTCTGGAGAGCCGCCATTTTAAAAAAAGCAACTTCAGGTGACACCGAATCGACAGAGAACGGGTTGTTCCCGGAGCTTCCTGGTTTCTTATCCAAACCTGGGAATACAACTTATAGCACCATTCCCAAGGGCTGCGTGCAGAGATCTGGGGATGAGGGGGCCGGGAGAGAAGGAAGGGCCGTCTGCCTCAGGAAACAGGGTCCGTTCGCAAAGCATCATCCTTAGGTGAGGAGCAAATGCTTACGTGAAAGTGTCCAAAAGCAAAACCGCTGAAGAAATGAAACCCATAATACAAAATACAGGGAATCCCAACCGGCTGAAGCAAGGAGGGGGGGTTGGTCCACACATCCTGGTTGTTTCCGGAGTCCTGAAAGACATCATCAGTTCTAGGCATGAAAGAGTTAAGCCGGCGTGGTCACAAAAACCATCTTGGAGGAATAGACCAGGTCCACGATATAGGCGATGAGGTTGAAGAACGTGAGGAAGGTCACCCCAAGTCGGTTGTTCCACTCAGCACACGTGTTTGCGTTACACGGAGAAGGTCTCGAGAAGTTTCTGAAGCTATATATGGGCCATACGATGGCCGCCGTCACGTACATGAGGACAGCCAAGAGGTTGTAGCCCACTAAGGTCTTGTCCAAGGGGATGGGCAAGGCGGCGAGACAACGTCCGACGGTGAGGATGATGATGAGCAAGGTGATGATGAAGCAGATGCAGTACACAGCCAGGCACCACTGCAGGCCAGCATGACGGGTATAGGACTTTGTGTAGTCCACCAAGGAGAAGATAAGGCAAGCCACGTAGGCCTCAAAGACTTTCAGGAGGCCAGGAACGGAGGCCAAGAAGCTGCTGACTTCTCCTTCCTTGGCCCGGGTCAAGCCCACTTCCACAGCGTAGGCGACAAAGCAAAAGCAAGACATGGCCGTGGCCGCGGCCTCGTAGCTGCACCCGTCACTCTTGCAGCGCCCTGGTATGAAGACGGACGGGTAGACGATGGACGTGGTGAAGATCATGAGAGCCGCCAGCATGGAGAAGGCCGAGGTGAAGTCTTGCCAAGACAGGGGCAGCGATTCAGCCACGCCGATGAGCTCCACCACCACCACGACGATCGAAACGGCGAAGCAGAGGCACCACGTGAACATGGACCAAGCGCCGTACGAGTTGTGGTAGCTCTCATGGGCTGCCACGAGGCTGAACGCCGTGCAGGAGAAGAGGATCTGAAACAACCGGGCAATCCCCAGCGGAGAGATCAGGGAGCCGAATTTGAGCTCCATGGCGCTCCCAAGACGAGAAGCTGGCGGGCTGGATCAGGGTCCAGAGGAGGAGAGCCGCTGAGCAGAGAGCGAAAAGGCTGGAGTGAGGCTGTTCTGCAGTCTCCAGGTTGGGCGCTGCCCTCGGAAAGTGGAAACGCCCAGTTTGGGATGGCTGGCATTGGCCTTCCCTTTCCTTCCCTCTGGGGAGGGACCGCGGAGGGAGAAAGTACACGCTTTGCTTGCTCACCAGTGAAAGGCTTTGACATGTCATGGCTATAAATGTGGAGGAAGTACCAGAGAGAGAGAGAGAGAGAGAGAGAGAGAGAGGCAATACAAACAGAAATGGACACAATGATTGTCACTTTGCTTCCACGTTGATGGCTCTTTTTTCCAGGCATAAATGTGTAATTTCTGGGAGGGGCTTGCACATGGGGGTAACCGAGGCAAAAGTGGGGGGCTAAACTGTGTGTGTGTGTGTGTTGGAACGTATCTGCTCTGTTTTTTTTAAAATCCATCATTTGTATGACTCACTTGATTCAGGAAACCTGTTCAGGAGAGGCAGGTAGATGATTAACACGGGAAGAAATTAACAAACCCCCGTCAGGGCCCAGGCTGCAACCGCTGTAGCGATAAAGCGACGAAGTGCTTCTCGTTTCTTGCAGGTGAAATGAGGAATTATACCTTTGGGAAGTGGGGTGTGTGGGGCCATGGTGGGCTGCCTCCTTCCCCTACTCTGACTCCCATCCTGACGTCTGATGACAGAGGGGAGCCTTCTCTACCGCTCCTTGGTGACAGAGTCGAACCCCCCAGGTGGCCAAGTCAACCCATGCTCAGTAGGGCGGGTAGAAACAGGCGTGGCACATGGGGCAGCCGGTTCCTTGCAAACAGGGAAGGAACACATGTCTAGAAGCCACATGTGGCCCGCAGGCATTTTCCAGGAATCTGAGTTCCTGTTGCTACCACCACACAAAGGATAATTCAGCGGCATAACTGAAGGCCGGACAAATACATATCTGAATTAAAACAAGGTGCAGCGAGGGCATGCACCTTGTTTTAAAGGAGAAATTCACAGCCAGACGCGTGGAATGTAGACTCGACAGACGGCTGGAAAACTGTGCAAATCGTTTGTGCAATTTCACGTACGCACGTGATATTTTGCACCACGATTCTGCCCGTTGCAATTTGGGACTCGCTCTTGTTGCCGCACACCCTGTTTGTTGCTGTCGTTGTCCTTTGCTGCTTTTGATAGATTCTGAGGGGAATACTCTGACTGTCCCTAGCGGGATTTATGTCTCAAACCTGGCCCCCCCAGGTGGACTTCACGGAGACCTCAGTGAGGGGCTCCATGACACCACCGAGACCAATTTATTCAAATTTCATTGATCCAGTGGATCACCTTGAGTTGGGATTCCTGACTGCCTTTATGGCAAGCCTTTATGGGGCAACACTGATGGCCAGGGTACCATGAAGTGTAGACATTTATTTCAGTTTACTTATGGTAACGGAAGGCTACACACCAGTAGCTTCCACCTTGCCCAAGCAAGCTCTTGAGATGATGGTTTCCCCGCAACCTGGTCATAACAAGCGTTGTGGAGAGGAAGCGAAGCTGCGGTGGTCACGGATCCATCTTGGAAGAGTACACGAGGTCCGCAATGTAAGCAAAGAGGTTGAAGAACGTGAGGAAGGTCACCCCAAGCCGACTGTTCCACTCAACGCATACGGCCGTGTTTAAGAGGCATGGAGGTCTTGAGATTCTTCTGAAGCTGTATGTGGGCCACAAGATGGCCGCCGTCAGGTACATGAGGACAGCCAGCGTATGGTATCCCACCAGGGCCTTCCGCAAGGGGAAGGGCAGGGTCATGAGACAACGTCCAATGGTGAGGATGACAATGAGCGACGTGATGATGAAGCAGACGCAGTACACCGTCAGGCACCACTCCAGGCTGGCGTAATTCTTAAAGGACGAACTGAACTCCACCAAGGAGAAGATCAGGCAAGCCACGTAGGCCTCAAAGATCTTCAGGCGGCCAGGGACGGAGGCCAGGAAACTGCTGATTTCTCCACCTCTGGCCCGGGTCAAGCCCACTTCCGTGGCGTAGGCGACAAAGCAAAACCAAGACATGAAAGTGGCCCCAGCCTCGTAACGGCATCTCCGGCTACTGCAGCGGTCTGGGATGAAGACGGACGGGTAGACGATGGACGTGGTGAAGATCATGAGAGCCGCCAGCATGGAGAAGGCCGAGGTGAAGTCTTGCCAAGAGAAAGGCAGCGATTCAGCCACGCTGATGAGCTCCACCACGACGACAAAGATGGAAATGACAAAACAGAAACACCAAGTGAACATGGCCGATTCCCCGAAAGAGTTGTGGTAGCTATCGTGGACCGCCACGAGGCTGAACGCCATGCAGGAGAAGAAGATCTGAAACAACCGGGCAATCCCCAGCGGAGAGGTCAAGGAGCGGAGGTTGAGCTTGGGGGCTGGCATGGTCATCCTGAGTTGGACAAGCCGCTGTGACCGACCGGTGGCTGTATAGGTGACGGAGTGAGGGAGATGAACTCAACACAGAAGGAAAAACCCAAGTGAGCCTCTGAGGCACTTCAGGATGGGCGTATCTGTGGCACCAAGGTCAGGTGGGGTCCTGCAAAGCCAAAATGACCCATCCGGGGTGGATAGAACCGGTCTTCCTGCTGGGAGATGGAGCCTGGAAGTGGCACAGAAAAGCACATTGGACGCCCCCTTCGCCAGTGACGGTCCTTGACGTATCTTTGCTAAACTCAAAGGAAGGACAACGGGAAGAATTCGGTGGCGGTCACATTCCTTCTGCATCGGCGGGTCTTCTTTTAGAGCAGGGATATAATTTCTGGAAGGTGGTTCCACACGAAGGAGTAGCCCAGTCAAGCGAGGCCGCAGGGCGTGTGTGTGTGGGTGCAGTGCAATGTGCTTGTTTTTTAATCTATGCTTCTCTTGATTCATAAAACCTGTTCAGGGAGAGAGAGGCAGGTAGATGATTAACAAGGGAGAAGGTAGGAAATAAGCATGCCCCCCTCCCACAGCTCTCCTATCCTGGCTCCCTCTCACCTGGAGGGCTATTCTGACACATGATTAAAAAAAAGAGGTCCTTATCTACCACTCCTTGGGGACAAAGAAACACCAAGGCCGGATGTATAGTCATCATCCCCGGTGGTGAACGGAAACATGAATGGGGGAGGACCGGCGGGTTTCTCAGGAAACAGGGAAGGAGCCCATGTCTAAAGGCTCCACGTGGCCCACAGGTGGTTTCCCGGACTTGAAATTCTTGCTACTGTTGCACGATGGTAAGATTCAGTAGCGCACCTAAGCCAGGAAAGAGGTGTCTTTGAACTAAAACAAGGCGCAGGGGGAGCATGCGCCTTGTTTTAGAAGAGAATGTATTTCATGCAACTGAGCGGGAAAGGTGCAAGATCCAGCCTGGAGCAAGGAGGTGGAGAACACCCCAGAGAGGGGAGCCAGCTGAGAAAGCCACCCGCACCTTTAGGAGATGTTCACATCGCTGGCACACGAATGGATTTCAGCCTCTCGTGTTGTTTTTCCTCGAATGTATCACTGGCCACGTAAGATCTACAGTGGTCAGCCATCCTGCATACAGGATGGTCCTCAGACAGTGGCACTCCACGCGGGAAGGTTGTGATGATGCCAAGTGTGTGGGGTCAGGCTTCGGTGAGCAAGAATAGCGGAGATTCCCTCCCTACTATCCTCCTCATGTGTGGCTTACGGGATTGACTTCTCTAGGGACCTCCACTGGCTGGATCTTGAACAGATGGCTGGCCCCGTAAGATCCACAGTTGTCAGCCATGGGATCAGGCTTCGGTGAGCAAGAATAGCAGAGATTCCCTCCCTACTATCCTCCTCACGTGTGGCTTACGGGATTGACTTCTCTAGAGACCTCCACTGGCTGGATCTTGAACAGATGTGGGACAGAGTTTCACTTCCCTCAATAGATTGAATCCAGGCATCCTCACTATGAAATTATATTTCATGCCCCTTATATATTTGCGGTTATTAGATCAGGGATAAAACTGAGATATGTATAGGTTACTTCTTGAACATGTTCCATAATTCTCCAGCCAGCTTGACCGCTGGCCAAGGATTCTGGGCGTTTGGGTCCCAGGACACCCACCCACGCAAATCTCGTGTTGTATCCGAGCGAGGTAACATGGATCAGAAATGTAAGATGTGTTCCCATGGGGAGGTAGATCACAATCTGGACTGCTGGGGGAGCAACCTCATGTGATCTTTCCTCTGGCGAACACATGACTCACCGGGAAATAAATGCACTCCAGCCGGACCCCAACCCATTCCCAAGTTTTTGGGTCCAGCTGTACAGTTTTTACTTTGGTGTGTGTGTGTGTGTGTCAGGCTGGAGTCATAGAGTTCATAGAAATCATAGAAAAAGTGAAGTTGGAAGGGATCTACGAGGTCATCAAGTCCAACCCGCTGTTCAGTGCAGGAATACCATCAAAGTCATTCCTTGGTAGACAAAAAGGCTGCTTTAAGAAAGATCGCTTGACCTTGAAGAGATCTTTCCAGGTGCGATCAAGTATGCGCCAGTGCAACTGCCTGATTGTACCCTAGGGTGCCATAGGGGTGGAACTGGTTCATGTGTGACCACACTCAACATATGTTAAAAGTTAAATAAATAAATAATCAGGCTACGCAGCATGTTTCCCGCCGGTCTAACCACAATGACTGAGATTTGTACCGTAGCAAGACGGACGGACTCAGAGGGGCAAAGCACCCATCCCACTCCAGGCTGCTCGCTCTGCAAAGTCCAGTCCAAAGGTCTTGCAAGAATTCAAGAAACAATGCACCTCCCTTCTCCCCGGGTTGTGCAAACTGAAACCAGACCATAATCGAACAACACCCCTGTTAGGGAGAGGGCCAAAGCGATGCCTTAAGGCTCTTTTGTTCTCAGAGCAAACAAGACGGCAAGCCCGAGAAAAAACGGCTGAAGAACGAAGTCACTTGGTTTTTACATTTAGGTGTGGCTTGTGTTGACCTCATCTTGGAACTCGGGAATGAAAACAAGAAAAAAAAGGAGTTCCAAAAACATTCTTGGCTCTCGTCCAGAGGACTTCATTCAATTAGCCTTTTCTTTTTGCAATAACAGGGTGAAACCCAGTTCTGGACAAATCCTGCGAATTAATAATAATAAAAAAAGGGACATTTTCATGGCCGACGTATCGTTTCTTGAAGAAGTGTGTTGGTTTGAAAAACCCTCTAAAATGGCCAGCTCCTTTTAATAAAATTTGTTTATCTGTGCACACATTTGCGTGCAAAGCTTTGTTTAATCTACTTTTGGATGGAAATGAAATGCTCCACCCCAATTTTGGAGAAAAGGCCAGGACTGTTTTTTTAAAAAAATTACTTAAGTCATCACGGCTAGAAACATACTTTTGAGAAAAAAAGGGGGGGTTTGAAGAGGAAGACAGAGAGATTCACAGGCTGCTAAAGTTTCCATCTCTGGATAAACCTCAAGATTCTGCAAGAAGATAAAGTGACTACAATTCCAGAATCCCCAACCAGGGGAGTCTGGGAACCCCTGTCAAACTGTTTTGTTTGTTTTAACCCGACTCTGGTTCCATATGTTTAAAGTTCTTGTTTGGACATTAAGGGATTTTTCAAGCACTGGTTCCTAACCTTGAGTAACTCAGTTGGTCTTGGACTACAACCCCCAGAAATCTGGGTGAACACAGCTAGTGGTGAAGGCTTCTGGGAGTTTTAGTCCAAAAACATCTGGGTTACCCAAGGCTGGGAATCAGTGGATTATAGTAAAGAGGGTTTCCCATGTGTAGTCCCAGGGCTATCCAGAATGTTGGCTGAAATCCTGTTGCGTAAATTACGTTGCATAAGGCAGATGACATCATCAGGTGCAGTGATTATTTTTTTGGGGAAATAAGAACTTTCTAATCCCTTTTCCAAAGTTCCCTATGCTCCTCTGGTACCCTTCTTTCCTCATGGCGGTGTGTGCGTCATGGGGTGGAGGGGAATCTAACTTCCGAAAATCTCTGCCAATGGTAAAGGCTTGGAGTGATTTTTGGGAAATCAAAGACTTCCTCCTTATTCCTGCAGCTCCCAACAGCTTCCCCATGATGGAAAGGATCTCACAGGAGCCTCAGGACCTGGGGGTGGGTTGCTGGAAATGTCTTATTTTCAATTGGATTTTTAAAATTTTCTCTTTTCAAAGAATGGCCGTGGCTGGTGATATCACCGGCCTTACGCAGCATATCTGCATGAATAGGATTTTGGCCACTGTGTTGTGTCACTATTTACACTGCAAGCAGCATGTTCAACACAGTCGAAGAAAGGACCCCACCAAATACTCATTTAGGTTTTTCGCCTCACCTTTTAACTCCTTCCACTACGATTTCAGGTGGGTGTCCTTTGCTCCCGTCTTCTTCGTGGTCTTCTTTGGCCACGTCCACTTAGCTACAGAACTCCTTGAGATTTTGATTCTGAGGCTGCTTATGACCTCGTCCCGTGGGATTATGAGGTAATTATGGGGCCCGTGTGTCTTGCTTTACAAACTAACTCCATAGCCAAGGTCATTCCAATGGGATAACATTTCTTTATTCTGTTGTTCCCTTTCTATTCCAGCACTCCTCCAGCGCCCTCAAGGCAACCCACACGGCTTGTCCTCCTCTTCACATTCTCCTCACAACAACGCTAGGAATAGGTGAGGAGGAGAGACAGCTACTGGCCCAAGGCCCTCCATCCTGTGAATTCATGGCTGAGTCAGGATTTGAACCCAGATCTGCATTGTTTTAGTCCCAACACTCCAGCCGCCACACCATGTTGGCTGTCGATCGAAGGTGAGCAACCCACCAGAGAGGTCTGGAGGCCATCTACAGCCCTCAAAGGACCACACCTGCTCCTGAAATCTTCACCTAAATATATATATACATATATATCTACAAAAATGCAGAGCTCCTTAAAAAATAAATAAATAGAAAGGCCCTCTCATGCTCCCTGTTGTTGCTGTTGTTTCCGTTGCTGTTATTTGTCACCCCCAACTAAGGATGAGCCTATGAATGAGGGATCTCCAATCTGTCCTCTCCTCAATAGCCCTGCTCAGTACTGTATATGCAAACTCAAAAGTCATGGTTTCCTTTAGGAAGCCAATCCATCTCATGTTTAGTCTTCCTCTTTTCCTGCTGCCTTCCACTTTTCCAGCGTTATTGTCTTTTCTCGAAAATCCTGTCTTCTCAGGATGTGCCCAAAGTAGGACAAGCCTCAGATTCAATACTTTAACCTCCAGAGATAGTTCAGCTTATGCTCCCTTGTCACCAAAACTGGTTTATTTCTTTAAGGGGGAGGGTGCCGAGGGGTGTTGGAAGCCCTCTAAAAATGGGAGACCCTTCTCTCCTTGCCTAAAGAGTACAAGGGAGTGTCTTGAGCCGAACTCGTCTTACGACCCCAAAAGAAGTCAAATTGTTAGGTTTCTAGACCTCATGCAATCTCATTGCCCTTTTGCTCTTGGGTTCCGGAAGCCGTGCGAAGTAACTAGTTCTTTGTAACTAGTTGCGTCCAAGCTTTGGCTTTCTGTAGGTGAGCTTCGGCCCGCTGCCTCTCTTAACCTGATCCGTTCCGCAGGGTTGTTGTGCAAGAAACGAAGCTTGGGAACGAACGGCTCACTAGAGGTGATTTTTTAAAAAGATAAACTTGTACCTCTAAATAAGGGGCGCTTCTACTTTCCGGAGAGAGGATCAGAAATGAGCTCATTCTCTCCCTGCTCCCAATCTGCTTTTGCTTTGGGCCAGATCCAGCCAGCCCATTAAAAGATGCTAAGCTGTAGCCCAAAAATTAGAGTCAAAACCCCATTTGCTTTCCATTAATGGCTGCCTCTCTGGAAGGAATTCTCGAGGGTTACAAGCCCAGCTGCCTCCCCGCCTGACATTTCTTCTGCGTCTAGTAAAACAAAATAAAACCCACAAAGTTCAAAAAGTTCACGGGATCGCTCGGGCCTGCCCTTGACGTCAGGGTGTGTGTTTGTGTGTTTCTCCTCCGACAATTACCAGCTGTCGCCGACTTCCAAGGCCTGAGCTGCGGAAACGAATGAAGAATTTGCGCCCGGATTTGAGTACGAAGAGCTGTCGTTGTGCAGAACGGCTCCAATTTTTAGGGTGTGGGGTTTATGTGTGCAGGCACAGACGTTGGGGGCAACTGGAACAAGAAGTACGATTTTTTTTCTGGAGAAATGACAGGATTTCCGTGGAATTACAGCAAGAGGAGGCTTCTGGGTTCACGGACTCTAAAATTGCCTCCTGGCGTTTGCTACCTGAAGCAGGTGTCATATGTTACCCAAGAGTAGGGCCGGCCCTGCACTCTTGGGCGTTTTCCTTTACTCATGAGCAAAGCCAAGAAAGGGGGCGAGAGGAAAGGAGCTGAGGAGGAAGCAAAACTCAGAAAAGCAGTATGGGGATCAAAAATAAAAACGGGGACGGTTTGTGCTCTGAGGTGGGAAAGTGCCTATTCTTAGATTGTGGGTGAGGGATTTATTACTCTCCCCCCAGCACACACACTTACATAGGGTTGCCTATGAGTAAAGCACCCGTAGTATGTATTTTCCTGTAGAAATTCAGGGCGCAGTTACACCTCAAAAACAAACAAACAAACCTAGTTTTGGATCAGGTTCAGCATATCTGAAATCGATTTAAAAAATTCTGACTCCACGACGCAGAGCGATTTGTCGGGAAAATGTGTTGTTTGGCTGGGAAACGAGAGATTTTTACTTGGCTGCTTATCTTAAACTGCTGGTGAAATTGACTTATTTTGAATCGTTTCGGCACGTGCGCTCACCTCCGTTAGTGTAAATTGTGTCTGCGGGGAAATGGATGCCAGGATCATGGCTTCGGGCTGCAGGGAAACATGGCAGTCTGAGCTGAGAGAAAGTTCGGGAGAGGGGAAGCCTCCCAGAAGCTGCTGATCTTCTCAATGTCTCTAAGCGATTTTGCTTTGCCACTCACAGATCAGCCTTCCCACTCACCAGTCCTGGGTGCTAGTTTCGTCTCTCTCTCTCTCTCTCCTTCTTCCCCCTCCATATGTGTGTATATGTCTCCTTCTGTGTTGTGAGTTTGTTCGGCTGCAGGGAAAGCTTGCACGGTGATCTGTTTTAATTTTTTCCTATCTGTCATACAGAACTAGCGCTATGCCAGACTGCAAGAAATAAAAAAAAATAACACCACAGCAGTAGCAACCAGTGGCTGTAAGAGGCAGCCAGTGTGAGGCCAGACAGGTACAGGACAAAGCCTTAAAGGCAACAATTTTAAAAACTCACGGAGCCCTCTTGACCGATATATAGCACAGTTTTAAAATGGAGTAAAAGTTTTCTTATGAGGATACACCCACTGACCCAAAAAACCATGTGACTGCCACGTGACTTTAAACCAACTCCAAAACCCCGATCCATTTTCCGATTTATTTTCACAGTGTAACCGTGCCCTCAGTGTCATGCTGAAGGGGTTTGAGGGGGTGGCCGTATGTGATGTTTGTACTACGAGGCCTTTGCCTCAGTTACTCCACCTCACCAGACAGCACTGGGGGGGAAGCTCTGCTTACAAGAAGGTTCAAAGGCACGCCAGGTCAAAAAAGAGACACCTTTCTAAATTGCTCTTTAATATGTAAACCGGTGACTCACAACCTGCCCAAGGGCGTAAATACCATCCGATAGAAGTCGTTTCCAGCAGATAGAGTTTTCCCAGACGGCGCTTGCATTAACAATGGACCCGCTGTGAAAGGTCTCCTCTAAAATCCCCCTTTTTCTGTGGGGTGAGAGAGACACAGAGAGAGGGAGGGCAGGCGCTTCAAGGCCACGGACCATTCCGGGCTTCTCCGTCACAACCACCTCTCACACCGAAGCTTTGAAACCATCCCTTCCCGCTCCAAATCCTTACAAGCCACGGAAAACAACGCAGGTGTAAAAAAAAGGATGCTGGGAGCTCCATATTTTCTCGGAAGGCCACCTTTCGACTCTTCGAGGGGCTCCCATCCCCGCCTGGAGGAGTCTGAAATGGAAAACGGAGGACCTTCCTGGCTCTTGCAGGTGGCGAGCTGAGCTTTTTCAGCCCGTTGGAGAGGTCTCGGCCTCCTTTGTCCAGTCAAGAGGCCGGATGAGAAATTGTTCCAGGGCCACCATCAGTTTGATTGAGGGAAGACTGGAGATAGTCAGAAGCTGAGGGGAAATGGGGCTCCCCTTGAGGTTTCCTTGAGATACACCTGGGGCTTCAAGGATGCTCAGACCAAGACATGGGGATGACGCCTCAGCTCTGGGGCCCGGAAGCAGGACACATCATCCTTCGAGGAGGACTTTCAAGACGCCAAGGACGGTGCTTGGTTGAGAAGGTAAGGCCTGATCCTGTGAAGGGACGGGAGGTGGCCGGGTCATCTCCTCCACCTGAAGCTCCTCTTCCTCCGAGGCGTGGACTTCTCCGAGAGACAGCTGGACGCCGAGGGGCCCGGCAAGGAGGCGGAGGTTTTGAAGTCAACGGCGCTACTTGTGCTTAGAACGGGATCGGTGCCAAAGTGGCGGGAGGCCTCTCCGGAAGTCGGTACTCGCCGTTTGCAGCTGGGACGGAGCAGGAGGGGGGTGAAATCAGTCTGCAGGAGCTATCGAAGGGATGGGACACCGAGGTGGAGGAGGGGACAAGGGAAGCCACGCCGCATCCCTGCCGCTCAAAGGTGACTCTCCGGCTCTCTGTTGACGGATCTCAGCACCAAGCACTCGGTGTCATTGGCTGGCAGGTTGCTCTCGTTGAGGCGCCGCACGCGGTACTGCTCGTAATGCACGTTGTGGGTGATGTCTTTGAGATCCTGGAGGTGCGACCTGGGAAAGGAAGGAACATGGTAGAGATGCTTCAGGGGACCCGCCTTGCCCACACTGGAGGTGTGAGAAATTCCTCTCCTCCTGGGTCCACAAATCAGCCCGCCACCCCTTTTATCTCAGCCTAAAATAGAAAGGTATATTTTGCTCTCACCTTTTTTTCCCCCCTTGGGTCCCACCCACCCCTGGAGCAGAGCACCTGTCTACAAGAACTTCAGATGAAATTGAATTACGCTCTGATGGAGCATCTCTACGCCCCTGGGTGTAAGAGCAACTCAGTCCTTCCAGAAAGGTTTGGTTGACGAACATGGGATGTTGTGCTTCCTCATGATCCTCATGATCCACTGCAAAGGGACCCTCTGGATCATCAAGTCCAGCCCCTTCTCAAGGAGCCACAGGGGGGAACTGAACTCCCAACCTCTGGCTCCCCAGCCAGAGACTTAAGCCACTGAGCTATGCAGCAGTTCTACATCCACAAATCAAAATGCCAGGTAAAGGCCCAACACTGCCTTGCAATGTCACGCCTGTGTCACCCCTCTTGCATGTCTTTTGAATGCAAGGCGCTGGAGCTTTGCGAAAATCCTCTGATCAGGTATAGACACGACAGAATCCCAGGGCAACCATTTTCCCGATGGGAACGCCTTTCTTTATAGTTGACCAAAAAGAGAGACTTCGCAACTGATAGGGAGCAGATGAGAACAAAAGACACAAGTTCTGTAAGCCCTCTGGATCCAAGCAGCCGTTTTAAAAACCTTTGGCAATGAATGCATTATACCACTTGCTGGTAAGCTTGAATGAATTAATGGATGGATGGATGGATGGATGGATGGATGGATGGACGGACGGACGGACGGACGGACGGACGGAGGGAGGGACGGAGGGAGGGAGGGAGGGAGGGATGGATGGATGGATGCATGGATGGCGGATGGATGGATGGGTGGATGCATGGATGGATGCATGGATGGATGGATGGAGAGAGAGAGAGAGGGAGGGATGGATGGATGGATATGACTTCAAGCACACAGCTCACCTGATTAAGAGGTCCTGCAGCAAAGGAAACTCAGAATGGGCAGGGTTCTCCACTGAAAAGCAAGAACATAAGAGGTGGTGAGAATGTTCTTGGCTAGGATAGGAATCCCTCTTCCAAGATTTTGCACACAAAAATAATTGGCCTTCTCGGAAGCCTCCAGCAAGGGAGGTTCACCTTTAAAACAGATTGAAGGCTGTCCTTCACCTTTTAAATGATAATAAAATCATCCTCATCAACATCAACCACGTTTTTTCCAACCAGATGTGGACTTCTTGTTAGCACAACCCCATGGGTTGCCCCCAGATGTAACTTTCCAAGGCTTTGATCCAATCTGATAGTGCCCTTCTAAACAATGGACACAGAGAAATTACACAACGGAAGACTGTTGTAATTTACAGCTTCACCATGTGAGCACACTAGCTGCCCCCCAGATGTAACTTTCCCAGGCTTTGATCCAATCTGATAGTGCTCTTCTAAACAATGGACACAGAGAAGTGTGACTAACAGAAGACTGTTATAATTTACAGCTTCACCATGTGAGCACACTTGTCCAGTGTTGCTGTAGGAACTTGTGACATTCAGACAGAATGAAACATAATGCATGATGGACAATCGAAATGAAAATAATTACACAGCATCGAAATTGCAATCATTGGGGTGCTGTCAGGATGTGAGGTTTGTGTGAATAGTGTTAAAATATTTAAGAGAGATGTAGAGAAACTAGCCTTCAAAATGAAAGACCTTTTGAAATCGAGGCTTGAACAATAGTTTACTATAGTCATTGCAAAACCATTTGCCAGCACTTTGGCTGAGCAAGGTCATGCTACATGACGTTCCTGACAGTTGAACATGTTTATGTTGCATTCTGTAAATATGGAGGTGGAATTTTCTATAGCTTGCACTCTTTGTAGTTCCAGTATCTTGTGTTATAATATTCAGTTTCCAAGGTCCTGGATTTTCAAAACCTTTGCCAATCAAAGCATCCCCTTGCTGGTAAACATGAATGAATGAACAAAGAAACAAATGGATGGATGAATGAAAAAATCATTTCATTTTTAGCAGGGCGAGAATGGACACTTTTTAAAAAAGAATCTTCCTGCTGGATGAGATTACTAGTGTTTCTGTGTTGTTTTTTTGCTTTTTTTTGCAGTTTGTGATTTTCTTGTGAAAAATGTGCAGGAGTGGCTGCTGTGCAAAAAATATCTGATTTTGCCAAAAGAAAAAAAAAGACCTTTGTATATTGCATAAAAGACTCTATTTTGCATACTTTTGAAAAAAGAAAAAAGAAAAAAAGAGGATGTAATGAATAGTTGCAGTTTTTCTTGTCCTTCACAAAAAAGAAAGAAAGAAAAAGAAGGCATCTCAACAGCTCAGGATATTCTATTGAGAAAACGATCAGTGGCTGGTGCGGGTTTTTGCTCCTGCCTGTGAATGAATGGATCAGCTTCTTGTCAGCATCAGCAGCAGGAAAAGTCAGCTTTGTAAAATACAAAAGTAAAACACAACAACTTGCATTTTACTTTTTTAAAATTGTGATTTAGGAGTAGTTAGTCCATAGAATCCATTATTTTCTCAATACTGCTACTCACGTAAAACCTTAAACCAAGCAAATATCTTGGTGCATAAACATTTGACATCCCAGCTAGTCTGCCCTCTGGGTATTCTCATGATAAACCTCAAAGGCTTTGTTTATGCTATAGCACCCAATTCATACCTGCGGGCAAATGAGATGAACTTTGACTGTGAATGCCGGATCTCTCTCTCTCTCTCTCTGGATCAGGAACAGGAGCACTGGTGGTGTGAGAGCCTGCTGACCTCTCCTGCTGGCCAGAGGCCAAAGGGGGAGGCCCCTCTGCCCTCAGCACTGCTTGGCCAGTTCTCATGACACAGCGCACTGCACCCTGAGCTTTTGGCTCGCTACCTTCTTCCAGGTGGGAGCAGCTGAAGGATCCCAGCGTTGGGATCCATCTAAGAGCAGCTATAACCCTGGAATGTAGAGCGGGGTGTGTTTGTGTGTGTGTGTGTGTGTGTGTGTGTGTTTGTGCGCATGCGTACGTGGGTGCACAGGATATACTCTCAGATAACAGACTCCTTGGAAGCAGCCCTCGACCCAGTAGCATGGCCCTCCCATACGTTACAGTCATCATCGTCATCTCAGAACGGCAGAGCTGGAGGGGATCCTATAGATCATCCAGTCCAGCCCCTGTCAAGGAGGCACTGTGTGGGAATCGGACTCCCAACCTCTGGCTCTGCAGGCAAAGTCCTAAACCTCTGAGCTATCCAGGAGTCCGTAATAATGACCTTAGAACTGCAGAACTGAAAGGGACCCTGAGGATCATCCAGACCAACCCCTGTCAAGGAGGCCCGGTGGGGAATTGAACTCCCAACCTCTGGCTCCTCAGTCAACCACTGAGCGAGTGAGGCAGCTGTCTCAAGCAGCAGACTGGAGTGTGAAAAAAGGCCACCTAATAATTATTGATTTAATTTGTTAATCTCATGCATTTTCCGGCAGAGACAGGGAGATGGGACATGCAGGATGTCTGGATTTCCTGTCTCGTGCGCCTCAATTCCTTTGGACGCTTTGGGAACCATGTGGGCGTGCTATGCGCCATGCTTCCTCAGGCAGCAGAAACGTCTCGGAGGGTCACACTTCAGTAAAACAGAAAGCCACAAACGGGAGCAGCTTCCTCCAGGCCCTCCTCAAACCATCCGGAGTCTCGGATAAGCGTTACCTTCAATGATGCCCCACTTGGTTTTACGACCGAGGACTTTCTTTCCGTTCACCTGGTGCTCCTTGTCTGCTCCCACCACCGCAAAAGGGATTTTCTCCTGGATTAAGAGAACGAGAGAGGGTTATCCCGGAACAGCCAAACGTGGCCATTTAGAGAGAAGGAAGCCCGCAATGGCAGACTGTATGGCCACTACAGTCAATACGGGGTGATCTTCCACTAGGGTGGGTGGATGACGTTCTGGAGGGAAATCACAGCATGACATGGATCGTCTTGTATGCTCACTAGCAGTTCTGGAATAACCAGGAACTTCAACTACCATATTTCCGTGTATAAGACTATACTTTTGTCTAAAATCTTTAGACTAAAAATTGAGGGTTGTCTTATACACGGAAGTAAGCCAAGGAGAGAACAAAAACAAATGAAGGGGAAAGCAGGGATCAAAGCAATCCTGCAGTGCTTTGATCCCTTTCCCCCTACACTTGATAAACCCCACTTAGATTTCTTAATTTTGGATTAGAAAAGTGGGGGCATTTTATACATGGGGGTGTCTTATACACGGAAAAATACGGTAAGCTGAAGCCTATTTTCAAAAGTTTGCAAAGATTCGAGCATTTCTTGCTTGAAACCAACATATGTTAGATATTTTGAATTTTGGGAATTATTCTTCCCTTTGTTGTCTTCTTCCTCTGTGTGTTACGGGGATGGGCCCAACCCATCATGGATCACACTGTAAAAGGGAGGTTAGCACACAACCACCCAACCCATCGGCTCTGAATAAGTGCGGACATCCCTGAGCGTGACTGGAGCCATCTGAGGACGAGAACAGGGGGAGATGCTGGATTCTGGGCATGTCTGCAGTACTGAATGACATATGGCAGCCGTTTCAGTGAAGAACGTTCTCTCTGCCCTGACTGGTTGTTGGATCCATCTGAGCAGGAAGGTGAACAAGATGAGATTTGTTTAAGAAACATGGCATTGCTGAGCTCTAGGATGGCCTAGACAGATTTTACAGATTTTACTTTCTTGGGCTCCATAATCACTGCAGATGGAGACAGCAGCCACGAAATTAAAAGACGCCTGCTTCTTGGGAGGAAAGCGATGACAAACCTTGACAGCATCTTAAAAAGCAGAGATATCACCTTGCCAACAAAAGTTCGAATAGTCAAAGCTATGGTTTTTCCTGTAGTGATGTATGGAAGTGAGAGCTGGACCATAAAGAAAGCTGACCGCCGTAGAATTGATGCCTTTGAATTGTGGTGCTGGAGGAGGCTCTTGAGAATCCCCTGGAGTTCAAGGAGAACAAACCTATCAAGAGAAGACTCCTTGGAAAAGACCTTGATGTTGGGAAAGTGTGAAGGCAAGAGGAGAAGGGGACGACCGAGGACGAGATGGTTGGACGCGGTCATTGAAGCGACCAACATGACTTTGACCCAACTCTGGGAGGCAGTGGAAGACAGGAGGGTCTGGCGTGCTCTGGTCCATGGGGTCACAAAGAGCCGGACACGACTAAACGAGGGCGGCCTTGACTGCTATCCTGATCTGATCTACTTGGTTCTGCCGGGTTTTTTCCCCTCTGGTTCTGATTTGTGATTCAGTCTTGTCGTAGTCCTGGGTCCAATGCCTTTCCTAGCTACAGTTCTGGTCTTGCCCCGTGATCCTCGGATTGCCCCATGACTGATTTCCACACCCAACATGGGTTCAATCCAATGACCCATCCCAACCCATCAGGAATCCCTTGAAGCTGTTGCAACGCTTTATGGTTCATAAAAAAAATTAGCAACTCATGGACCTCATTGAGGTCGAACACGGCAGAAGTCATGACCCCTGGACAAGCAAATACAGTTCAACAGTAAAAAAAAATGACCCAAGAGGTGTGTGAAATCCTGAAGAAAATACCCATAGAAAGAACAGCAGATAATTTGGGGTCTGCAACACCCCTAGCTCAAAGTAGATTCTCACAAAGAAGCCCCCCCCACATTCAACGGGTTGTCACCTACCCGGATTTTGTCATTCAAAAGCGCCTCATCTGGGTCCTCATCAAAGTCCACTTGGGGGTAGACCTGGATTCCTTGGGCTTTTAAGTCCTTCTGAATCTGCAGAGACATAAGAACTGGTGCTGAGACGAGAGTCAGAGCGCGCCTCCATCTTGCTGGCCTCTGAGGTGCCGGTTCTTTGTCCGTTGGGTGAAGAAACATCCCATGGCAGATGCCGACAGAGCGTGCTGCGTGGCTCCTCAACAGGTTCTCTCTACTACCTCCAGGGTGGAACAGAACATGATCTCTTTCCCAATACAGAAATCCCTGTTCAGTTCCAAGGACATGGAGGGCTAAACCAATCACGGCTAAACGGGGTTATTTTAACCTAATCAGTGCTAAACAGGGCAAGAGGAAGCAAGGCAGACCAGCCCCCCATTTCCCAGAGACTTTGTTTAGGGTAGTCTGGGTGCCCAGTGAGCACGACATAAGGGTCACCCATGTAATGCGCTGTAGAGAATCAGCGCTCAGTGGGGCAGCCTATGTGAGGGATTGCTGCATTAAAAGTAATATTTGAACAAAGATGATAGTTAAAGAAAGAAAGAAAAAGAAAGAAAGAAGTAGTCTGGGTCCCCAGTGAGCACAACAGAACGGTCACCCATGTAATGCGCTGTAGAGAATCAGCGCTCAACGGGGCAGCCTATCTGAGGGATTGCTACATTAAAAGTAATATTTGTACAAAGATGATAGTGAAAGAAAGAAAGAAAAGAAAGAAAGAAAGAAAGAAAGAAAGAAAGCTATTACCATATTTTTCTGTGTATAAGACTATATTTATTTATTTATTTTATTTATTCATTTGATTTATATCCCGCCCATCTGGTAAGTCAGTACCACTCTGAGCGGCTAACACAAAAAGTATAAAATTATAATAACATAAGTACAAAATATCAATAACAGAACATAGTAATCATAAATAATAAATAGGAAAGAAGAAAGAAATAATTTAAATTAGCTTAGAAGCTGGCAGGAGGGAAGGCCTTGACATAAAGCCATGTTTTTAATTGAGTTTTGAATGTATACATTTGTCTAAAATCTTTAGACTAAAAATTGAGGGTCATCTTATACACGGAAGTAAGCTGAGGAGAGAGCAAAAACAAGTGGAGGGGAAAGCAGGGATCAAAGCGATCCTGCAGCACTTTGATCCCTTTCCCCCCTACACTTGCTAAGCCCTACGTAGATTTCTTAATTTTGGACTAGAAAAGTGGGGGGGCGTCTTATACATGGGGGCGTCTTATACACGGAAAAATACGGCAATTCTGACATTAATTCAGAAATTAATTTAAATCAATGACTAGAGATGGGCATAGACCGCAAACAAAGATGATAGTTAAAGAAAGAAAGAAAAAGAAAGAAAGAACCCTATTACCGTATTTTTCTGTGTATAAGACTATACATTTGTCTAAAATCTTTAGACTAAAAATTGAGGGTCGTCTTATACACGGAAGTAAGCTGAGGAGAGAGCAAAAACAAGGGGAGGGGAAAGCAGGGATCAAAGCGATCCTGCAGCGCTTTGATCCCTTTCCCCCCTACACTTGCTAAGCCCTACGTAGATTTCTTAATTTTGGACTAGAAAAGTGGGGGGGCGTCTTATACATGGGGGCGTCTTATACACGGAAAAATACGGCAATTCTGACATTAATTCAGAAATTAATTTAAATCAATGACTAGAGATGGGCATGGACCGCCAGTTTGGTCCATCAGTCCAACAGGTGTTCCAAGGGTCCGAGCCCCGCCCCCTTTGGCATGCACCCACCCACTCACAGGCGGTCTCCCTGGTTTCCCTGCCCCGCCTCATCCTGGGTGCTGCCTCTGAGTGGATGCCAGCTGGAGGAGGCGGGGCTCGCCTCTGTTGGGCCAACAGACGAACCGGCATGAACCGCTGAACCATCGTGGCTGGTGGCTCAGTTCCCTTCCCTCTTGCTCTTACCCTCTGTCTGAATTCTGCCCGCTCCTCAAGGGTCAGGGTGTCGGCTTTGGCAATCACCGGCACCACGTTGGTGATCTTGCTGATCCGCCTCATGCACTCCAGATCCAATGGGCGCAGCCTGAGGGAGACGCAAAAACCACGTGCCGGTCAAATGCACGGCAAGACAACATTGAAGGAAAGACGGAGAGCCGACGTGGAAGAGGCAGAAGTTGGATCTCTTGGAGGAGGAACTTCAGAGACTGGCTGGACCTCAAGAGAGAACAACTAACCTTCACAGTGAGAGAAAGGTGGGGATATGCCAGGATGGGAGCCGACCTCAGCAACTGAGACGGCACCAGAACAGTGGTTCCCAACCTTGGGTCCCCAGATGTTCTTAGACTGCAACTCCCAGAGTGGTACCCCCCCTCCAAAAAAAAACAAGAGTAACACAGGCCACTGAAAGCTGAATAATATAAACAAAACCTGTGTTATCTTACTAAACACATACATATTGTTGATATTACTAAGCTTTTAGAACTCCCAGAAGCCTTCGCCACTAGCTGGGAGTTGTAGTCCAAGAACATCTGGATTGGCCAAAGCTGGGATTTCATGCCACTGGAAATCAGAAACCTTCGGCAACCAGCTGGAAATCACATGTACGTCTACGAGCGGATTGCACGCTTCAGCCCACGCTTGCTTTATGGTTACTCAGGGATGTCGGAAAGTGGCTTCAGGCACACAAGTTCCGTTGCGTAATATAATCCAGGTTTTTCTTCAACCGGAGGTTGCACGATGTGGATCAGACCTTCCTGCCAACCAGACGGAGATCATTCTAACTGCTTTTTTTTTTTGCAAAAAGGTGAGGCTCAGGAAACCAAAGGCATTTTCCTGGCAAACAAATAGATTTAGAAGTTGCTTGCGACAAGATCAATGGAGAAAAAGATGGGGGCGTTCTACTTCCGAATTGTGACTTATTCGATGGGTTGATCAACACAGGATGTGTTCTTGTCTGACTCAAGGGTGTACTAATCAATCCAGACTATTTGCTCTTTTTTTGGCCTGTTTTCTCTTGTGTGTGGAACTGAAAATTGGACTCACACACTCTGGACAGAAGCAGAAGAAGTTCCAGCCCTTTTCATGAACATCTCTGCATTGTCTCGTCTGCAGCTCCACGGTCTGCTTAAAGCTAACCAAGTTTTATCTGAAGTCTCCTTCGCTTGGCTTGGCCATTTCTTTGGCCTTCTGGAAAGAGAGAAGTGGGTTGCGTAGTTCCTGGCAAGGGCAAGGCGAAACAGGCTCCACCAGCAAACTCAAGGTTGCCCAAGGCTATGAAGAGGGAGGAGTTCTTATCCACCCCTGTAAGGTCTAAGCAGGTAAAGGTAAAGGTAAAGGTTCCCCTTGCCAATTTTTGTCCAGTCGTGTTCGACTCTAGGGGGCGGTGCTCATCCCCGTTTCCAAGCCATAGAGCCAGCGTTTTGTCTGAAGACAGTCTTCCGTGGTCACATGGCCAGTGCGACTTAGACACGGAATGCTGTTACCTTCCCACTGAAGTGGTCCCTATTAATCTACTTGCATTTGCATGCTTTCGAACCGCTAGGTTGGCGGGAGCTGGGACAAGCGACGGGCGCTCACTCCATCGCGTGGATTTGATCTTACGACTGCTTGGTCTTCTGACCCTGCAGCACAGGCTTCTGCGGTTTAGCCCACAACGTCACCACGTCCTTAGGTCTAAGCAGAGACCGACTCAAACTCTAAAGCAAGGTTAAGAGGCAGTGCAAGGAACAGGTTATCCAAGTCCTACCAGAATCTTCCTTGCGGACAGACCTCATATCTTACTCCTGCAACGACTAGAGCCGAATGGAGACCTCTTCTAGTTCTGGCCCGGGCCTGTTTTCCCCAGGTTCCCTCCTGCCTCCCCAGGTAGGAAGTCTTAAAGAAACTGGCTCCTAACCGGGAGCATCTCATGGAGGAGGCCACTGCCATTGGTGAACTCAGTCAAGTCCTGAGATCGCCAAAGTCCCGGAGGAGAAGCAAGCTACCCCAATTCTGGAGCCAGGCTGTGTGGGGGGAGATGCTAGGAGACCCAGAGACATGGAGGGCATGACACCCTTCCCAGGTCACATTAACCCCGGGTGCGTTGTGACCTAGAAACTTCTCTGAACACAACCACCCCAGCAGACACCGGGGGTGAGAAATAATTTCATTTCCAGGAAATGAAAGATCAGGCTACGATGGAGGACCATCAGATCTCTTTTTTCCACTTCTCAGCAAGGAGCGGATGGGCTGTCAGATGGAATGCAGCAAACGGCCCTCGTGTTTTATTTTACGAGGCTGGACGTCCTCATTGAAATGGTCTTTTTCCGAACAACAGCCCACAGCCCTCTTATCTTGTTTTGCTCTCCTTACATGGAAGTAAAGAGACTAACCCCCACCTTACCAGACATCAAGGAGCAGCTGTTTTGACATCCTATCTTGAGTTTCCAGATTTTATTTTAATGAGGCCATGCCTCTTTCTGCCGCTGGGTGCCGCTCTTGACCCTTGGCATGTTTTTTGTTCAAACACAAGGGAGAGATGAGTTTGTTCCCTCGAGTTTTGGGCCTTCCAGAACTGAGTAAGTAAGACTGGAACACCATTTTCGGCATTAGAAAGGGTAGATTCTCAGAGTTGGCACAGTTTTTCGAGAAGAAAGACACATGCACGCAGCTCCAAATGGGAGGAGAGCACCCTTCAGGCTAGGAGTACTGCGGGTGCCAAACTGAAGATTAAAAAGATGTATATTTAGGGGGGAAAATGCAAAAGGAAGAGAAACTCACCGAATCAAGGCAGAACAAGCTGAACGGAGGAAATGCGAGACCTGGGAAGAAGAGGCTAGGTCGGTCTAGCCTCCTCGAAGGATGATGTTTCAGCAATTCATTTCTTTTTTTAAATCCTATTTGGCCAAATGAACCTTTAGCCAAAAGGTGTATCATACATAGCTTGCCAGCTGCCTGCCGTATAGATCCATTTTTGGGGTGTGTGTGTCCCCTTTAAGGGATCCCATCGATCTTTGTCTACAAAAGTCTCACAGAGGCGAGGAAAGGTAGTCCACCGGCCACTTTTGAAACTTACAGAAGAACAGCACTGTGTAGCACTTTTCAAATGCGTACTTGGAAGACAGTTCTACAGAAGGAGGGGCAGGATCTGTTCTCAGTCATCCCAGAGCGTGAGACACAGAATAACAATCGGCTTAAGTTACAGGAGTGTGGGATGTGGTGGTGCTGTGGGTTAAACCGCAGAAGCCTCTGAGCTGCAAGGTCAGAAGACCAGCCGTCGTAAGATCGAATCCACGCGATGGAGTGAGCTCTCGTTGCTTGTCCCAGCTCCCGCCAACCTAGCTGTTCGAAACCATGTAAATATGCGAGTAGATGAATAGGGACCACCTCGGTGGGAAGGTCACAGCATTCCGTGTCTAGTTGCGCTGGCCACGTGACCACGGAAACTCTACAGACAAACGCTGGCTCTATGGCTTGGAGATGGTGATGAGCACCGCGCCCTAGAGTTGGACATGACTGGACTAAATGTCAAGGGGAACCTTTAAGTTACAGGAAGCCAGATTTAGGCTGAATATCAGGAAAAGCTTCTTAATTGTTAGAGCAGTGTGACAACGGAAGCCAACGCTGGAGGCCTTCGAGACAAAATCGGACCACCCTCTGGCCCGATCTGCTTTGATTTGGATTCCTGTCTTGAGCCCGGGGTTGGACTCGATGGCCTTAGGGGTCCCTTCCAACTCCATGATCCTAGGATTCTAAGAAGTCCTAAGATGCCCCACGCACTTTCTTTCAAATGTCAGCAGTACCGTAAAAATGATATGCGTCCCTACGTGCCTTCTTTCGGGCGAAAACAGCACCTCCAGGAGACTCCTGGAGTGCAGTGGGTTTTTTTTAACCTCTGTTGGAAGATGTGTGACCTTTGAAAGTTTAAAAAGCAAAGGCTGATTTGAATCTCTCGCTCTTTTTGCTTCCAGAGCGGCTCTTCCCCACCACCACCACTAGGGGGCTTCCACTTTTCCTAATCGGAACAACTCCGTGTCGTTAGCGGGGAAAACGTTCTTGTAAAGACGGGGGTAGGGGCATGGTTGATGTAGGTGGTGTTTTGGTGGTTGTTGGGATGTGAATTCAAGAGCAGGAAAATAGTCCCACACAGACATTCTTTCCTCCCCCCCAATGGTCCTCTGGCTTTTAATTTTTTAACAAAAAATTCTTACATCTATGGGGTTAGTGCTAGATCATCCTTCCTCCTTATTGCCGGGAACGTAATCTGCAGGAGTCCGTTGGAAGCAAGCTTTGAGGCCTCTTGCTGAAAGTCTGTAAGCAGTCATTCTTGTACAGCATGCTGCTTTTGATCTGGTCGACCGTGAGTGAATGTAGCATTTTTAGTCTTTCTCTTACCCATGTCTCCAAGTGAGACTGTCAGTGCCCGTTGAGGAGAGTAAAAAGGGGTGGTCTACTCTGGGGAGAGGTGAAGCTCATTCGGCTCTGTAATTCCCTGCCCTTCAGCTTTAACCAAAATTCAAAACTCTGCAACATTATATGTGGGTGTGGGAGGGAATCTATACAGGCTGTGGTCTCTTACCAAGAGCTATCCCCTTCTTCACACCCCAGGGAAGCTAACCTTGCTCTCTGAGAAAGCGACGTGGCTTAGAGCCTCCCTTCCAGCCAGGGATTCCCGGCTGGGGTGCAACTTTATCCTGTTTACGAGAGGCAGAGGGGAGAGACGGGCCAGGCAGCAGCTGCAGCACAGATGCTGAGGGAGAGAGAGCGGGCCGAGGGCACCCACAGAGGCTGGAGAAAAAGAAGAAGGGGGGGGCAAATAGCAAGGTTCCTGCCAGTTGCCTTTTTTCAAGACAGTGGAGAATAGTTTGTTTTAATTGAAAATGACAGAGATTCCTGGCAGGTGCTGAGGTATGCGAAACACGCTCCGGCCGTAACCCTTTCTCCATCAAAGCAGCCTCCGCCCGCCGGCCGCGGGATCATAGCTGCAGGCTCGGCTGGACCAAGGAGGCAGAGCAGGGGCCGCGCATGGAAGGGGGGCATCAAAGGGGAACGTGGATCCCCCCCCATGCTGGCCCTCGACTTTGTCTACCCCAGCGGCGACTACGGGCTCAGCCTCTGGATGGTTTTGGACTGCACCCCGTCCTCCATCATTGCTCCCCCTTTGGCTACGCCAGCTAAGGAGGAGGGACGTTGTGGGCCGAAAAGGTGGGCCCGCCACTGGCCCGCCCCCCCCACGCTGTGTCCCCAAAGAGCAGAGTCGAGAAATGAGGGGGATTTCGCTTTAGAGAAATCCCTCTCTCGAGAAGCTCATTTTGCATCACCTTCAATACCTCCCAGGTGACATGCCATCAGAAAAGTTCCTTTTTAAATGAGAATACAAGGTGGGGGGGGGGAAGGAACTTGGTCAAGCTCTGGGAAGTACGGGCAAAGAATGGGAGCTTCTTGAGAGTAGAACAGGCTGCCTCGTGCGGTTATGTGTTCTCCTTTCCTACAGGTATGGAATCCTCATCATCATCATGCACCATCAACTCAGTTCTTACAGCAACCTCCTTTTCTGGGGTTCTCCAGGTAGAGGGAATACTCAGAAATAGTTTCCCAATTCCCTTCCACTAGGTGGCGCCTCTGGGATGACATTGCAGCTGGCCCAAGGCCCCCCAGGCTGGCTCTTCTCCCTGGAAGCCCATTAGAGGAATCGAACTCCCCAACTTCTGGCTCCGCCTCCAAGTAGCAAATATTCAGAAGCAGATTGCCATCCTCTTCTTCCAAGGGGTGCCCTGGGACGACCGTGTGGCTGGCCCAAGGCCACCTAGGCTGACTCTTCTGGGATGTAGAGTGGGGAAATTGAGCTCCCGCCTTCTGGCTCTGCAGCCAGAGATCTAATGGTGACAACATTTTCTCAGCCATTCGTTGGAGAAGAAAAGGAGAGGAGATTGTGGGAAGGTGGAAGAAATACCTGCAAAATTTCTCAGGCTGCAGGGCTGTGGCATCTTTGCCCTTACTTCACTCTAACAAGGTAGCCGGCCCTGTTCTGTTCCCTTTTTAAACAAACACCTACTGTCTCTTGCTGTCCTCGGAAGGCAGCAAAGGGGAACTCCAAGAGATAATCCCAGGAGAAGTCTTCCCGGGTACTTTCCAAGCAACGAGGAAGGTCACAAAGCATGGCAGAAGGGCACCTCAGATGGAAAATGAAGAGCCCACATGCCCCAGCCGTGTTGCTAAAGTAAGCTGTGTCCCACTTTGACAAGCAAAATCACTTGAGAAATCGCAGTACTACCTAAGGAAGAGAGAGAAAGCCAGTGGCGTCTTTGCCAGGGAGAGAAATAGCCCGCGGAAAGTGATTTAGCACTTCACCACCTCCTGGCAAATAGAAGGGGAAGACATGGAGGCAGTGACAGATTTTGCTTTCTTGGGCTCCATGATCATTGCAGATGGTGACAGCAGCCACGAAATTAAAAGACGCCTGCTGCTTGGGAGGAAAGCAATGACAAACCTCGATAGCATCTTAAAACGCAGAGACATCCCCTTGCCAACAAAGGTCCGCCTAGTCAAAGCTATGGTTTTTCCAGTAGCAGTATATGGAAGTGAGAGCTGGACCATAAAGAAAGCTGAATGCTGAATAATTTATGCTTTTGAATTGTGGTGCTGGAGAGTCCCCTGGACTTCAAGATCAAACCTATCCATTCTGAAGGAAATCAACCTTCCTTTCGCCTTCTCATGAGAAGAGAAATCTCCATAGAAAAGACCCTCATACTGGGAAAGAGTCAAGTCAAGAGGAAAAGGGGATGACAGAGGACGAGATGGCTGGACAGTGTCATAGAAGTGACCAACATGAATTTGTCCAAACTCTGGGAGGCAGTGGAAGACAGGAGGGCCTGGCATGCTGTGGTCCGTGGGGTCACGAAGAGTCGGACCGGACTTAAGGAATAAACAACAAAGTTAGATAGTAGCACAGACATCATAGCATGATATCTCTCCTTTATGCACACGGAAGACGTGACATTAAACCGCGCGAGGGACAAAGGCTTTCCTGAATTTGGGGGAAGTTAAATTAGCCAGATGGGCGAGTTCCCGGTGTGATGTAGGGGACCGAGTGATGGACTGGAACTCTGGAGAGCAGGGTTTTCATCCCCACTCAGTCATGGAAACGCGCTGGGGGAGTGGAGCAGGTAAAGCCATTCCTTAAATATCTCACTTGCCATGAAAACGCTGTTAGGGTCACGCTGAGTCGGTTCTGACTTGACGGTGCAGCAGAATAACAAATTAGTTTTAAAAAAAGGTAGAGGACTCAAAGATCTTATTGCCTAAGGCACTCTATTTACTCAGCAAACGTAAATGTTCCTGTAATTCTGTATCCCAGAGTCTTTGCTTAACAACTGATTTGGGTTTAGAGTAACCCAGCGCTCTTACGAGGCTAGGAGAAAGTCTGGAGCCCATCATTCCTTAGACAGGGACCTTTTCCATGTGGATTGAAATCGAACAATGTGAACGATGCAAATTCTACTGGTAGAAAGATAAGTTTTAGCTGGTAGTTTATTATGCATACTTTGGCGTGAGCATCAGTAGGAATTAGACCTGTTCTCTAGGACGCTCTTCTCTTCGACTCCTTCAGTATTTATCTGGCATTGAGCAGGGTTTCGAGGCTAAACGAGCCTCAAAGTTTCCCAAAATGATGGTTCCACCAGAAGAAAGAGGAGAAGGACAGGGTGGTCTTCTGTACACGGACCACCAAGTAACCCCAGGGGAAGACTTACCAGTGACCGGTCGGTGGCACAAAATACACGCAAGCATGAACCCGAGTATCGGGAATCCTCCGTTTTCGATTGATGAGGATTTCCTCCCTTAAGTAGCGTTCATACTGCTCGTTGATATATTCCACAATTGGATCCCAGCTATGACAGAGAGAGAGAGAGACTGTCAGCAAAAGATGCCAAATCTTGCTAAACCACAATGTTTAAGTGTGGCACTGACGACAAACCACATCTGTGGCACAGTAGAGCGTCACGCTCTCCTTGAAGGCTGTGAGCGGTTCCTGTTGGATCCAATGGGGGGCAAAATGTTTTGTCCAGAGGTGGTTGGGTTGCAACTCCCATGAGCCCTAGGCAATGATAAGGACAATGGGAGCTGTAGTCCAACAACAGATTTCCCCATCCCCGTATTTAGACCATGCCGATGACACCACTAACAACAGCTATGAGGCATGCAATGGCCAGAGCCCTATTGGTGCCATGGCTAATTGCTGCTAATTATGTGTGGCCAAGTACACAACCAAGGCACCTCATCAATTAGCTGCAATTAGCTACCTTAAATTATTTAGACTTTAAGTGAACACCAATCGGATTCTGGTTAGTATTTTACTCCTGTAGCAAAAAAAAAGTACACCTTTAGAAAGAGCCGGTTTTACTTTTTGGAAATGAAGAAAGCATGCGTTTTCCCATTTAGCCGGTCTTTGCTTCTGTGCTCCAGATTTACCCTCCAAATCTCCTCATCCCACCCAAGTGACTACGAAGTTATCGTTATAAAAAGGGGGGAAGCGCACTGTCACAACTGCAGTGGGGTCATGCCGTTGTTACGGGAAAAGCAGCGCAACCCGCACGCAGCTTGTTACTTGTCATGCATTAATTCCATGCGCTGTCTAGGTCTACCGACACACTGCCAATAAAGCCAGTCTCCCTCCTTCCCTCTTAGAGGAAGAAACACCACCACATACCAGTTTTGATTGTTAATCTGATCTCCAAATCCTGGTGTGTCCGTCACCGTCAACTTCATCTTGATGCCCTTCTCTTCGACAACTATCGGGAACAGAGGATACACCGTGAATTCAGGTCCGTTTGTCGGGAACAGAGACGGGTCCGCGCTGAATTCAAGTGCATGCTTTTTCAACGATGTTTTAAATGAGGTTTTTTCGCTGTGCGGTGATTGGTTCCCTGCTTCAGGAACCGGGTTTCGCTTTACGATGATCAGCAAACAGCTGATCGTTGGGTTTCAAAATGGCTGCCGGCTGAAGAAAATGCCCCCCCCTGCTGTTTTCTAGGATGGATTCCTCACTTTACAGGCACCGAAAATGGCCAATGTAGGGAGGATCTTCGCTGGACAAGCAGGTATTCAGCCCATTGGAACGCATTGAGCGGTTTTCAATGTGTTTCAATAGGTTTTTTTATTTCGTTCGACGACGTTTTCGCTCTACAGCGATTTTGCTGGAACGAATAAATGTCGTCAAGCGGGGCACCACTGTAACCTAATAAGTGAGAGAAACAAGAGAACGGCATGTGGCGTCAGGCGAGGAAGGGTGGGGAAACGCCCACAGGAGATGGGGCTGGAAAGAAACATGGTGGCAGAAGAGGTTCTCCTTCAGAGGAAGGAGAGACCACGGGTTTCCCCACCACCCTGTCTCACTCCTAGAAATCTTACCGTGGGTGACCGAGAGTAGCTGCACTGTCTTCGGGATGCGCTCCTCGTAGCCAGGGTACGATTTCCGGCTGATCTTGGATTTGAAGAGTGTGTTCACCATGGTGGACTTGCCCAGCCCGCTCTGTCCTGGAAAGGAGAAGGACAGAGAGTGAAGGATGATTGGCTGAAGCCACCTCTGCTAACATCTGGGAAAAGGGCCGGTGAAATAACCCACCACCTTTCCATGGCAGTGAAGACATGGGGGAGGCCGTATTGTCCTCTTCACAGAGAACAGCTTTTTCTCTGAGGGGTTTATCCAAAGAGGGTATCCACACCACCCGTATCTGCTGATTCACTTAAAAGAAAAATCCTAGAAATATAGATTTCTAATGATAAAGTTACCAGACCAGGCTACCAGAGGGTGCCAGAGACCATACTATGTAGAGCGTTCGCCATGCGCTGTCATCCGCATTTTTCACCGTCCGTGGTACGGCTTGAAACTGATTCCCCCATGGATACAGGGGTCCGGCTGCATCTCACAGCTTTGTTGCGAGGAGGAAATGAGAAGCGAGCACACTCCACTTGGAATTCCTTGAAGGAAGCCAAAGATAACCGGAATACAGCAGATCAGCCATTGCCAACCTTGGGTCTCCAGATGTTCTTAGAATACAGTAGATCAGCCGTTGCCAACCTCAGGTCTCCAGATGTTCTTGAACTCAAAGCCTTCACCACTCGCAGGGTTGGCTGGGTTTTTGGGGAGGAGTAGTCAAGAACATCTGGGGGGCCAAGGTTGGGATTCGCCACTCGCTGGGCTGGCTGGGATTTTTGGGAGGAGTAGTCCAAGAACATCTGGGGACCCAAGGTTGGGAACCATTGAGGGAGACGATTCTGAGATTTAAATGAACAAGACCTGGATCACACCAATTCGGGCAAATGTTGGCGTGACATCACAGACTGGAATGCTCCTTAAGGTGGGAAGACTAGAACCTTCCCCCCCCCTCAGCTTCATCCCAGAAGACCCATTTTATGCATATTAGGATTCCACTATTGACACCGGCTGTGTGGGGCTATTGCCGGTGACAAGATCTAGAATGACCACAGTGCTTTAACACCAAGGAAACAAAGGCATAGGTTGACTGAAATCCAGTCGTAAGTTGCAACCAGCGTAGGTCCGTTGATTCAGTAGAACTTACAGAGGTGTTGACTCACCAAATCCCCACTGATTCAATGAGTCTACTCTAGTTGTGATGTACCACTGACGTTCAGTCCCAGAGCCATAGGAGAGATGGATGGACATTTTTCCAGAGGGCTATCTTTTCTGCTTCAGAGGTTGATCTTGGTTTCTTGGGAAGAAAGCCATCCAGGAATTTTCTCGGCCAGCTTCGGCAACCCTAGTAGGGCACCTCAAATGCGATCAATACTCCTTAACATCCAGTCTGGAAAAAAACGCTTTGTCTTCTCCCCACTTCTGCGTGGGTGAACTAGGCCTTGCTAGAGGCTGGAAGACCTTCTCAGGAGCAGGGGATCATCTTCCCACAGAGAAAAATATCTGCGTCCCCCCCTCACCATCAATCACAAGAATCCCAGGGGGGAAAATCAGCTGCTTATTCTGTTCTAATCCAAGTTGTTGCTCAGTTTGCTTGACAGCGCCTTGAAATCCTTCGGCTTCAGCTGGCCCAGAACAGAGGAGGTGTGGATCTCATAAACGCTCCTTGGGCCCTTTTCAGATCTTTCTCCTTCGGGATATTAACTTCTCCTCACCTTTGGCCCCACCTGGGTCAAGGGGACAGTCGCTGGGGGGCGAAGAGCAGGAAGGGATGGGCAGGCAGTGGGTGGGAAGAGCAAGCCTGCTAAAGCCAAGAGGAAGATAAATATATATATTTTTAAGAAAGAATGGAATGGAATGGGACCGTTCTGGATGGAAGCTCATGGCAGGGTTACTCCTGGAAGTATGTGGAACAGAAGCACTGTGTTTCCCATGAGGTGAAGATTATAATACCTCCATTACAGTAAAGAAATATGAAAGGGGGGGGGACGATTCATTTGAAATGTGGTGCTGGAGATGAGCTTTGCAGATACAGTGGTGCCTCGCTAGACGATGATAATCCATTCCACTGAAATCGCTGTCTAGCGAAAAGCAAATCGTCATCTAGTGAAAATCGGTTTGCGAAGCAGGGACAAAACATTGTCCAGTGAAATCCCCCCATAGGAATCACTGTTTTGAGAATTGCTATAGCGATCGCAAAAAGTCAATGTCTAGCGAAAAAACTGTCATGCGGGGTAACTGTCTAGCGAGGCACCACTGTAAGGCAAAATGTCATAAAGATGAACCAGCAGGTCCCAGATCAAATCCAGCCCGAACTCTCTCTGGAGGCAAAAAGTGTTGAAACTGAGGCTGCCCTACTTTGGGCACATCCTGAGAAGGCGGGATTCTCTGGAAAAGACACTAACGTTGGGAAAGGTTGAAAGCAGCAGGAAAAGAGGAAGCCCAAACACGAGATGGATTAATTCCCTAAAAGAAGCCACAGGCTTGAGTTTGCAAGAGCTGAGCAGGGCCGTGTGGAAGACCGGACATTTTGGAGAGGGCTCATTCACGGGGTTGGCATAGGTCGGAGGTGAATTGATGGCACATAACAATCCCACCTCCCATTATGCTTATTCTCTTGTGCCAACGTCTGCGAGTGTAGAAATTCGCCCGTTTGTGGACAAAGACAGAATTCTTTGAAACAGAATGGGGGGCAACTCTTCGTTCTATTGCCTACGAAGGGTCACGTGGTGGAGCCCTGAAGCTTGCCGACTTGGAAATGATCTCAAGTTGCTCCTTTTACTTACGTCATAAATGAAATGTTGTTAGCGATTTACAACTGAAGAGGGAGGGAGCAGCGTGGAAACCATGACCCGGGCCATTTGTTGGTCCAGACTGAGATCTTTGTTTAAGAGGCAAAAAACAAAACAAAACAGTGTTGTTGTTTTTAAAAAGGGGGAGAAACCAAACCCTTCTGGGCCTCTCTTTGCCTCTTCCTTGTTGGCTTCAAACTTTCCCCGAAGACGTCTTATCTGGTTTGAAGGGATTTTTCTTCTCCCTGTTACAGGCACCTCCACCCCATAACCCCCCCACAACCTATTACACTCTTTTAAGTTCAAAAACTTCACCACGTATATAGGTGTGTGTCTGTGTGCATGGATGGATTGAAACCAGATGTTCAGCTTCTCCAAAAGGTCAAAATGTTGCAGCTGGGATTCCATTCCCCCCTTTCCTGGCTTGCAAAGATCTAAAAAAAAAACAACAACACACAGAGCATTCGCCGGATTCTGTTGGCAGTGCAGGAAGGATCCGGAGGCTGGCCGTTCCTGGCTTCCTGTGGCCCAGTTTGGAGAAATCAAAACCCGAGCGGGTGAAGAGAAGATTCCTTTTGAGAGTCAGGGTAGGCGTCCCGTGGTTCCATCGTTCCCATGGGGCCAAGGTGACACAGACTCTTTCAGTGTGGTCCATGGGGGTGGAGGAAAGGGCCTTTAGATTCCCAGGGATGGGCAGGGTTCACTTCCTACATCCGACTTTTACACCCAAGTCGCTCCAGTCCTCAATACATCCCTTTGGAGACTCGTAGAAAAGGGCAAACGAGAGATGCCATAAGTATAGAGTAGGACCCCCATATCCACGGTTCCAAGCCCCCCCACCCCGTGGATGTTGGAAAAGGCAGATTATAATGAACGATATTTTAATAGCAAACCTGATACATAGCATGGTCTCTGACTCCCCCGAGAGGCTAGTTCTAGTAATGACATCCTAGAAATGCATTTCTCTAGCCAACACTATACAATGGTGCCTCGCTAGACGATGATAATCTGTTCCACTGAAATCTCTGTTTAGCGAAATCATCGTCTAGCGAAAAGCATTTCCCCATTGGAATGCATAGAAACCTGTTTAATAAGCATTCCAATAGGGAAGAATTATCATTATCTAGCGAAGATCAGCCATAGGAAAGCCGCTTTGCGAACTGCCGATCAGCTGTCTTGCAAAGCTTAGGTCCCAAAAACACCCTTTTTCAAGCACAGAGGGAACTGTCAAAATCGTTGTCTAGCGAAAATTGATTTGCGAAGCAGGGACCAAATATTGTCCAGCAAAATTCCCCCATAGGAATCGCTGTTTAAAAGTCAATGGTTAGCGAAAAAACTGACATGCGGGGTAACTGTCTAGCGAGGCACCACTGTACATAGCATGGCCTCTGGCTCTCTCTAGTGGCCAGTTCTGGTCAGTTCACCTTTAGAAATCTCTATTTCTAGGATTTTTTTTTCCTTTTAATATTTTCAGACTGTGGCGTAAGTACATCAGTGGATACTGATCCTGCAGATACGGGGATCCTACTGTATCTAAGATCCACTGCTTCTCCCCAGTCCTGCACCATCAAATTGCTCCAAACGTATGTTGGCCCTAATATGTCTGAGGAGGGGTCTGCGTTGTTGCAGCTGTCCAGGGAGTTTTCATGACTGATCATTTGCCCTACTTCTGCTAGGTTATGCAAAAATCAGGAAGCTATGGTGAAAAAAAAATCACATTTTCCACCCCGCTCTGGCTCCAGAGATCTTAGCAGGCTTCACCCCATACAATTCCCAGCTGACGTATGTTTGTAGCTAATAAGGACTAGAAACTTGGAAAAAGAAAAGGTCCCTCCGAAGGTGGGTTCTGTAGCTTTCCTGCGGTTGGAATGAATCCTGGCAAGGGTATCTATCACACAGTCCAGCGTTAGTTTCTTGTGATGAATGCACTCTTTTTAAAAAAATCTTCCTCCTCTGGGCCAGCAGAAGAGATCACACACATTTGTTCTGAGCTGCAGTGTAAGATGCCTGGTTTTTTCCCCTGCCAATCCCCCTTTTCGCTAGACTCAACGCCCCTTGATGTCTCAAATCCATCTCTTTCGCTGGAAAGCTGTTCATCTTGTAGATAAAATCCTTTGGGGGGAAAAACATCTAGGAAGGGGTCCGTCTTTGCACCTGTCCCACTGTCTCTGCCTGGAGTTGCAAGCTCACCCTGGAGACGGATGGGGCTCCTCGCTTGTTCCTGCCTTTGCTTTGGCCCTTTAAGCATGTCATCCCCTTAATCCTCCTTGCTTCCCCTTCCTGGAGGAGGTTTCTGACCCCAAATAAAAACCCTCCTTCTTACATGGGATTACTTTCTGGCATCTCCACCAGGGACGCCAGCTTTTGATCTGGGAAATATTTATTGCCGAACGCATCCAAAGGTCGGGGCTTCAGAGGCAAGCTTCATCCTGGGGCTTTGCCTGTAATTTGGGGGGGGCAAGGAAAAGGGGGACCTCAGAGGGCTGAGGGTGGGAAAGGGCACGAGGTTGCTAGGAAAGGGATGAGACGTTGGGAGGCAGCTGCGGATTCCCAGAGGAGAAAACGTCACATCTCTCTCTCTCTCTCTCTCTCTCTCTCGGCGAGCAACGCTAGAGGAGATGGATTCGTTTCTTGGGGTCATCTGTTGGCTTAAAGCCCAGACGTCCTCCGCTGGTGTCAGGGCTCCGTGGCCCAAGAATGGAGATAATTGGTTTGTGCGTCGTGCTTGGTTTATGAGCAGCGAGGGACTCCAGTTTCGTGTGTGTTGTGAATCTGCTCCGGCTTTTAGTCTGCACTTTAGAGGCTCTCACCCTGTTGTTTAGCCCTTTTCCCCCAAATAGGTTCAGAACTTTTGATAACTCCTATAAAGGGCTGACTAAAACACGGAGTGGATTCGCAGCCCCCCGGGACTGGAGTCACTGGCTGTCATGGCTTCTATCTGAGGCAGTGGACTTGTCCATGAAAGTTCGTGCTGAAATATAGCTGTTGTTTTCTTAGCCCTGGCATCTGTTTGAAATGCCAGTGGTCGGCTCTAGAAGACTTGAGGGCAGGTGGCATTGGCCCTGAGCAAGTGCAGAGTGCACTAGGCGACTGGGATAGGGGAGAATTTCTAGCATCGAGGGTGGCAAATCCAGGTTAATGTGAGTCCCTGCACTTTCTATATATGATAAGATGGAGGATAGGTGGAGGGGAGGGCCAACATTTCAATTTAGGAATGGCTGTTTTATAGCAGAGGAGATGTGAGATGCTAAGGACCTGATGCGTTGCCAACGGAGAGGAGAGGTTTAGACCTGATTCTGACCTTGCCGAGTGCCCAAAACACAGCTCAATCCTGCATGTCTACTTGGGAGTAAGCCTCATTTGGACTGCTAGGCTGCACGTGAGTGTACCTGTTCTTTCTAAGCTCCAGGACCCGATCGCAGGTCTGCACCGGCCTCACCCATCTCACATGGGTGAAAACGTAGATGTTGCCCAATCTATTTTGCCGCCTGAGGCTATCCCTACTTCCCAAGTAAAGGCCAAGAACACCTGAGGTCTGCCGAACGAACTGGGCACTAGAGGCAGAAAATCTCAGTGGGGGGAAAAACAGAACCTCAGTCAACGAAGCACCTAACTTTCTTCCTTGAGAGCCAGGATCGGGCCACGTCCCTCTGCCTAACGTTAGGGCCGGCCCTACTCGGGTGGAGGCCGCCCTGCCTGTGACTTCTCCAAGCCCTTGGACTGGACAGAGGGGGCGCCAGTGCTCACCGACCACCATGATGTTGAATTCAAAGCCATTTTTCATGGTCTTGAGACGCATCTGGTCCAGCACGGCCTCGATCCCCACGTAACCGAAGAGTTCCCGGTCGCCGGTGCTGAGGGCAGGAGCCTCTCGGGAGAGCGGCTCTCGAGCTGGCTGCTCCTCCATGCTCAGCGGCTGAAGCTCCGGCTGATGCTCTGGAAGTGGGAGAGAGACAAGAGAAAAGAAGATTACAGATGGGACAGCGGTTCCTTCAAACAGGCGTCTCTTTCTCCCACCACCCACCACTTCTTCTTCTGCAACGAGACTTCTAAGAGGAGAAGGAAAGGCCACTGTGATTTAGTTCCCCTCTTGTTTGACTTCCTCCAGACAGAGAACTCGGACGGGTTAATGAGAGTACACATAATTTATCCACACGTCAAAATGCCATGGACTAAAATGTGCATCGTTGAAAAACTATGCCCAGATCCACTGAGGAAGATGTGGTCGTTGGGTTCAAAGAGTAAATAAATGGAGACCATGAGGGAGGGTAGGAGAACAGGCGCACTGTTTAGGCAAAAAACAGTTTACACCTTCCATGTTGGGAGGAGGTATGGGTGGGAGGGAGTTTTCTAGGTTGGGGTAACTGTCAGTGTATCCAGCATTAACCAATTGTTCCCTCCTGCCTCTGAACTCAAAAAGAGCTTCGCCTTTCTGCTCAGTGTTCTAACTCTTCTGTTAAAGTATGTTGCTGAAAGCAGTTACGATTGTCAATTTGCTGTTGATCTGTAAGTAAAACTTTGCCTTTCTGCTCAGTGTTCGTTCCCCTCTCTTGAGTCTGTTAAAGTCTGTTGCTGAAAGCAGTTACGTTTGTCATTTTGCTGTTGATCTGTAAGTAAAGAAATGTTTTTTTAAAAATTCTTTCTGCTGCTAATGTCTCAGAGTGAGTTATTGAGACTGTAAGTGCCAGATGATGAGAAAGGGGGTGGACTACTCTGGGGAACTTAGAGCTATTTTGCTCTGTGAAACCCTACACTTCCGCTTTGCAGCTAAAAGAATTTAACCAAAAATCAAACCTCCGCAACCTTTCGATGCAGGAGTTTAAAAAAAAACGCCAACAGTCTTGCATCCCTACACTGGGACAGAATGGGAAGAAAAGCCAGATCGAGATTTGCAGAAATGGAATAAAATTGAGAATTCTGGCTTCTGCTAATCCTTTAGCAGTGAGGCAGTCCTCAAGAAAACCACCAGCCTCGTCTCAAGTCTGGGCTTTTATGATGAGCCCTGCGATGGAGCACCTACAGAGCCCCAAATGGCCATCCGTTTACAAAAGGGCATCAAAAATGGTAAGCCTGATTCATTAATTGGCCACTTGAAGAACAGATGCTATCACCCGGATTAGAGGCAGCATGATTCTTGATTAGGGCTTTGCATCCGATTTGCATCTGAAGCTCAAATTTGGATCAATTTGTATGATGTCGGGATTAATCTGGAATGGCCAGATTTGGTTGGAGGGCAAAGCGAGACGAAATTTACAAGTTGATTTGACTCTGGGAGACAAACTGAATCAAGACAGAGCATCAGTAGTCTCAGAGAGTGGGTATATGGGAGGAATGTTCACTCTGTCTTTGAATTGGATTTAGCATGTTTGAAATCAACTGTTGAAGAAGTGACCGCATAACACACAGGGAAGCCCATATTATTTTGACAGGGGATAGTGTTGTTGTGATGGGAAGCGAGCTGTTTCACTCTTTCGCCAGGCCGGTCATTTATTTTAGTTTGGATGGGAAACTATTCTGAATCATTTTGGCGTGTGTGAACATCTCTGTGGATGTAAATTGTGTCTGAGGGGTTTGCCACTCACCGGCGTGCCTAGTCAATTTCCGCCCCAGCTCCCTGTCTCCATCCCTCCCTAGTCAGTTTCAGCCCTGGATAGGTGTCTCCCTCCTTCACCAACCTAGTCAGTTTCAGCTCCAGCCTAAGTTTCAGCCCTGTTTTCATTTTTTTTCCTATCTGCCATTCTGTTCTAGCACTATTTCAGTTTGCAACAAATTTTTTTTAAAAAAGATCATAACAGCAGTGGTTAGTGGCTGTGAGAGGCAGCCAGCGGGAGGAAGGGAGGGTGCAGAGCTAAGCCTCAAATACACTTAATTAAAAAATCCATTTAACCCCCTCAATCAATATGCAACACAGTTTAAAAACGGACTAAAGGTTATCCCAAGGGGATGCACACACTGACCGAAAACCATGTGGCTACCACATGACTTTAAACTGAATTCAAAAACCCCAATCCCTCACCGGATGTATTTCAACAGTGCAATTGTACTCTCAGATCTCTTTTTAAAAGCATATCTTAAAAGTATCTGGCAGCCAAACTTCTCAAGTTAACTGTCCGAAATCTAATCTAATAGATTTATTCCTCTCTTAAGAATCCATCACGCCTCCGATGTTCACATACGTTCCTATCAAGTTTTTAAAATTATAGCCGTTCTGGTTTTCCAGCACGCGTCTGTGGGAGGCTTTCCACCAATCAGTCTGCATCCGGGTCAGAAATCAAACTCAATTTTTCCTGGCGCTCTGATTTAATGCATTTCTGAGCCACTAATATTTTAAACAGGTTTAAACCCTGAGCCACCGGACACCGAAATACAGGTTAGCTTCAAACAGACCGTTATCTCTGTTGGGGATTTTACAACCCAACTTGCTGCCTGGAGGAGGTGTGGCTGGAAGGGGCCTTTTTCCGGCTAGGGTGACTTGTCAATCTATTCAGCATTAACCAATCATTCCTTTCCAATTCTGAATTCAAAGAGAGCCCCGCCTTTCTGCTCAAGTGCTTGTCCCCTCTCTAGAGTCTGTTAACAGTCTGTTGCTGAAAGCAGTCAGGTTTGTCAATTTGCTGTCTGATCTGTGCAATCGTAAGTAATGAAACCTTTTATTCTTTCTATCCTAATCCGGCAGACAGCGAACATACGTCCCTTCTGGGATAACATGAGCCCAGAGGTCATTTATCTGTGCCCCCCCCCTGCAATTTGGACAGGCCATATTGTTAGCCTCCATGGCCGTGGGAGGCCCCTTCGAACAGCCCGGTGGCCCATAGGTGGCCCACCAAATATGCTTCCAGCCATCCACGAAAGAAAGAAAGCAATGATCTGTTAATCAGGGCACAGGGCAACCTACATAATAACAGAAAGCATTTTGTTTTCTGCTTTGGCAACCATCTTCAATTCTCAAGCAGGGCATTCTTCAATAACTGCATCACAGTTTCCCTCAAAAACAATAACAGGAATTAAAATTGTTCAACACCGGTTAATGTCGCAACCGGGTTGTGCTGATTATGGGCTAGCTGCAACTCCAGCATGTTGGGCAACGTTCGTCAGGCGGTGAAAGGGAAGACAAAATGCAGAGGTGGGTCTTAGTGGAAGTGGAACTCCTGGCTACTGCAAATTTAATGGGTTTTTTGGAAGGGAGATGCAGCTCACTGTGTGTCCCCCAGGGAGGGAACGTTGGTTTCCAGGACTGCCCGTGTGATTTGCTATCATCGACACCAATGGTTCACGACCTTGGGTCCTCAAATGTTCCTGGACTAAAACTCCGAGAAACCTTCATCACTAGCAATGCTGGCCAGGATTTCGGGGAGTTGTAGTCCAAAAACACCTGGGCGACCCGAGGTCAGGAACCGACGAGGCCAGATGCATCGTCTCCTCACTTAGCACCAAACTCGTTCCCCTTTTCTTCGTAAGTCTGTTGCCTCCTCTGGGATGTGTGTGCGAAGGTTGTGTGCATCCACAGAGGCGGTTCCTGGGAATCAGATCCCTCGTTTTCTAAGATTCTGGGTCGAGAGGGTCACAAACCGAACTGCAAACTAGGGGGGAAAAATTACGAACTGGGCTGGCTCTTTGTGGTTCGGTTTGTGCAACCCGTTTTGCCAAAAGAAAGAAAGAAAGAAAGAAAGAAAGAAAGAAAGAAAGAAAGAAAGAAAGAAAGAAAGAAAGTCCCAAATGTCTAAATGTGGTTGATTTTTCCCC